AGTCCCTTACTGAAGGAACTGTCAAGCCCAAAGGCATGCATATACCTCAAAGAATCTCCTAGTCAAAGAAATTGATGCTAAATAATGAAGCCCTGAGAGAACAACTGCAGGCTCCCTCTTCTAGCACCAACCAGTCATAGTGGGAGGGGAGAGCAAGGAGAAGAAAAGAACTTTTGGTGTTCACTAAGCCTTGAGTAGGCCTGGCAGAGTTTGGGCTGGAAGGACTAGGACTGCCCCCAGCCCACCTCAAGAGGTGTTGCATGATAGTGCTCCTGGAGATGGGGCCATTGACAATGTAGTAATGAATTTATGGGTGAAAAAATGTTCAGAGGATCTGGATCCAGGCTGTCCCTCAGCTTGGCTTCTCTCTTGCTCCTGGAAACAGCACATTCCAGCTTCCAGCAGAGGCCCTTACTGTGGGGTTTAAGCACAGGCTATTTTAATGCACAAGGAAGCCTGGAGAAGAAACAAGAACAGATGAGGACTTTGCCAGATCCCAAGAGGGTTTGTTTGTGTTGGGTTTTGTTCAAGTGGAACAGACCTAACTTCAGCCAGAGCTCGCTCTCAGTCTGCTCTCAGGGGCAAAGGCGCCCAATGTTTGTCTTCCTAATAGCGGATGCTCTGTAGTCATTGTTTTATTTAGGAGCTGTGATTATGTGTCCACAAACCTTACTAAATTGAATACAATCCTGAGCATTCAGAAGAAGAAACAGTACAGGACTCAGGGGAGGGCGCAGCTGGCTGGAAACAAGGGCCCATGAATTCTAATCCCAGGGCTGCCATCTGGCATTGACCTGGGACAACTCATTTCCTCTCTACCCTGGAGGCTCTTTCTGGGATCTAAGGGCCTGAATAAAAACAGACCTAGAAGCTCAGAAAGTGAAACAACCTGTCTAGACTCTCAGAGTCAGTGCAGTTCACAGGTAAACCGTTCAGAGGCCCTACTCTCCAGCCAGAGGTTGTATTTACTATTCCAGGAGGTTTCTTGCATTTTCCTTTGCCATCATTTGCCCTTATGTCTGAACCCCGAAGAGCTTCCCTGCCTTGGGTGTTTACTGCCTGGTGAATATGGTTACAAGCCCCAGGTTGTTAGAAAGCACTCTGAACAGACAGAGGATGAGAACAGCCCCACTCCTATCTCCTTCCAAAGAGTTTTCTGGGCCAGGCGCGGTGGCTCAAGCCTGTAATCCCAGCACTTTGGGAGGCCGAGACGGGTGGATCACAAGGTCAGGAGATTGAGACCATCCTGGCTAACACGGTGAAAACCCGTCTCTACTAAAAAATACAAAAAAAAAAAAAAAAAAAAAAAAAACTAGCCGGGCGAGGTGGCGGGCGCCTGTAGTCCCAGCTACTCGGGAGGCTGAGGCAGGAGAATGGCGTAAACCTGGGAGTTGGAGCTTGCAGTGAGCTGAGATCCGGCCACTGCACTCCAGCCTGGGTGACAGAGCGAGACTCCGTCTCAGAAAAAAAAAAAAAAAAAAAAGAGTTTTCTGATGGTTTGGATTCCAAGCTGGTTTCCCATTCTTCTGAACTCAATAACAAGAGTTGGGCCTTAATCATTTGATTGTGGAGGTATATATCTGCAAGCTAATGGCTGATCTTAGCCCTTTAGTCACAAAGAAACCTGCATCTATCTGCTCAGTTTGTTGTTAGTCTCCATGAGAAGTTGACCTGAAATTGAGTTGCTGCTTTGGCTGTGGACCCTAAGTGGAGTTTTAACTAGGCCAAGCCTTCAGGTGAGTTGAGGGAGGGTTTGGGGGCTCCTACTTTGACTGTTCTCCAAAATAACTTTCAGCCCCTGACCAGAGGCTTACAGTGAAGAAGTAGTCCTACAAAGAGCACAAAATGAAACATCTGTCTGTGGGACACCATTAGACAAGACCCCAACATGGTCTGATAGGTCAGCAGTGTTTGCCACCTCTCTATTATAGAAAGATCCTTGCTGTGCCTTCAAATCAAGTAGAAGGCAGTGTTTGTCTTTTCAGATTATGGCCTTTCATTTTCTATGCCAAGCATTGCGAGGACACAGTGGAGGCAGGCACGGTCCCTACCTTCATGAACATTTATTAAACAAATTATACAAATAGTCATTTAAATAAAATTTGCTAAGTGCATGAAAGAAATGTATGGGGGAGCCGGGGCTGTGAGACTACATTATAGAAGGATCTGACTCAGCCTGGCATTTATGGGAAACTTCTTTTAAGAGATGATATGTCCCAGCCTGGGCAAAATAGACTCCATGTCAACAAAAATATGTATGTATACAAAAATTAGCCAGGTGTGGTGGCGTGCACCTGTAGTCCCAGCTACTTGGGAGGCTGAGGTAGGTGGATCATTTGAGCCCAGGAGGGTGAGGCTGCAGTGAGCTGAGATTGTACCACTGCACTCCAGCCTGGGCACCTGAGTGAGGCACGGTCTCAAAAAAACAAGAGGTGATGTGTGTCAGCTGAGGCCTGAAAGATGCAGTAAGATTTAACCAGAAGGGGAGCATGAGGTTAAAAACGATATTGATGCCCCATCAGGAGTAAAGAAGACCAGTGTGCAAACTAGTGGCACAAGATGAGATTGGGGAGATAGAAGGAAAGGCAAGTGACTGCTCCTTTACCATCATTCTTAGCCTGGTCTGGGGAAAAAAAAAAAAAAAAAGTGCTGTTTGAGACCACCCAAACTGCTGTTCCATCTTCCTAGCAGCAGGGGCCTCGCAGGAATGCTCAGGGAGAGGTGCTTCTAGCCCTAACCTGGGGATCACACAAATGGAGTGGTCCTCACCTGGCAGCATAGTTCAGAAGAGGCAGGAGGAAGAAAAACTAGGCACTCACTTTCCCTGTAATTCTCTCTATATTTTTCCATTGCTCAAACTGTTTATCAATACATGACAGAAGCTATTTCCCTATTTAGATGGTTCTACTGGGAATTCCACACCACCACCATCCCTCCTGAGGCAGATTTTAAAGTCAGCTTTCAAGATTTTATACTTGGATTTCAGAAACTAAATTACATTACTACGTCCAGTGAGACGGCGCCATTGCCTGTTCCTATCTACATGCTCCAGGCACTGTGAGGCCGATAACATCAGCATGTGGAAGCAGCTCGATCCAGACAATTTGCAGCTGGCTAGAGCTGGGCCAGTGGTGGGGAGGGGGAGGATGCAAAATTATCTCAGAATCCAAAACAGCCCAGGGTGTGCTATGGACTAGGATCTGGGATTTTTGGGTTCTTTCCATATACCATCATTTCTCCTATCTATAAAGATACAACTCATCTTAGCCCCACCTGCACATAACAAGGAGCTGAAAATTCCTCTCCTAAACATCATAAGAGGACAAAATCACTGATGTTTCAACATTTGGGATGTTTTCATTGGAGTGAAAAATAGAAGGGAGTGGTGGAAAGAGTGAAACCATCATTCTGAGCAAACTGTCACAGGAACAGAAAACCAAATACCGCATGTTCTCACTCATAGGTGGGAATTGAACAATGAGATCACTTGGACACAGGAACGGGATCGTCACACACCGTGTCCTGTTGTGGGGAGGGGTTTGGGAGGAGGGGTAGCATTAGGAGATATACCTAATGTAAATGACGAGTTAATGGGTGCAGCACACCAACATGGCACATGTATACATATATGTTGTGCACATGTACCCTAGAACTTAAAGTATAATTTAAAAAAAAAAATCAATATCCTACTGCCTGTGAAATTAAGTGTCCATATAAAAGCCAAAATACTCCTTGAAATGGCTATTCTGTGCTTCTGTGAAGTCCAGATGTGAAGGCCTTATAACTAACCCTCTGACAGCCACAAGGTTGCAGAGTGGGTAAGACAAACTATTGCTCCCCTGCCAGGAACAAAGGAATTTTGGAGTTTCTAATTCTAACCAAGATTTAATTCTACAGAACAAGCATTCCCTTCACAACAAAAATATTTCAGCCTGTTGGGTTACTTAAAATGCACCAAATAGCATAAAACATTCATTCAAGTCTGACAGCATTCACAGACCTACTTTTGTAAATAGCCAAACACAGGCTGTTCTTTCCCAGAATATGATTTTTTTTTTTTTTTTTTAAATAATGCAGTAGGTCCCCAAGGTCAGAGTTTTGGGAAAAGTCAGTCTATCCTCATTGAGGCTGTCAGTCCTCTGCCCTTGTGTGAGCCTGGCTTTCCTGCACCTCAGTGCACTGCCCACTCGCTCATAGGTGTCAGTGTTTACATGCAGGAGACAGAAGAACAAGGATCTCCCCCTAACTTTAACTGCACATTTTTCAACTTCTCCAAGCACAGTGGAGGCGTGCAGGTTACTGACTACATTACTGGCTCTAAACACTAATAATTAAGTCAAGTGATTATTTGTATTTATTCATTTGTTTATTTTATTTATTTATTTATTAAAAGACAGAGGTTTGTTCTTGTTCCCCGGGCTGGAGTGCAGTGGCACGATCTCGGCTCACTACCACCTCCGCCTCCCAGGGTCATGAGATTCTCTTGCCTCAGCCTCCCAAGTAGCTGGGATTACAGGCACCCACCACCATGCCCAGCTAATTTTTGTATTTTTAGTAGAGACGGGGTTTCACCATGTTGACCAGGCTGGTCTCAAACTCCTGACCTCAGGTGATCCGCCTGCCTTGGTCTGCCAAAGTGCTGAGATTACAGGTGTGAGCCACTGCGCCCAGCCTCATTTGTTTATTTTTACAGAAAACTATTACTGAAGGTTTTAAATGTGAAAAAGTTTTGACTAGGCATGAGGAATAATAATAATAAAAGTGAGAAAGGGCTGGGCATGGTGGCTCATGCCTGTAATTCCAGCACTTTGGGAGGCCGAGGTGGGTGGATTGCTTGAGCTCAGGAGTTCGAGACCAGCCTGGGCAACATGGCAAAACCCCGTCTCTACCAAAAATACAAAAAATTAGCTAGGTGTGGTGGTACGCACCAGTAGTCCTAGTTACTCGGGAGGCTAAGGTGGCAGGTTGCTTGAGCTGAGGTGGAGATTGCAGTGACCTGAGATCGTGCCATTGCACTCCAGCCTGAGTGACAGAGTGAGACCCTATTTCAAAAAATAAAAAGGTAAGAAAGAATGATCACCACATATCAGAGTATAGGTTCCATGGTTGAGTCTCTCTCTGGATGTTCACTGTTAGTAGAACAAGTGTTGTGGGTTCTGGGAAAATCGCAATGCAGGCTGCTTCTCTCTGTGTTCTGGATTCTCAGGCCACTCCTGGTAGGTCCATGTTGGCTTTGGCCCCCTGCCTCGAGGACTAGAAGTCAAGGATCTTTGCTGCTTTTTGTCATAGCCTGGGGAAGATAGGCCAAAACTAAGTTAGAGGACTCTGGGGCAGCCTGAATTTGGGGCGACTACCCACCCAACTGCTTACTATTACCTCTAGATTGGCCAAGCCCTGGTCAGCCTCCCTTTCCTTCAGCCCACCCCTTGTCCACACTTCCTAAAAAATAGCAGATGTACCATGATCTCTGGACTGTGACTGGACTTTTCTACTAGAGAACGTCTCTCTGTGGGGACTTGCAAGCCTCACAAGAATCAGACCCACAATTTTTCTTAGAACAAAATAAGTTTTTGCTGAAATATCAGCAAGCCTGAGAACAGCATCTTGAGTCCTTCAAACAGCTAGCCATTCTCTGCTGGTTCTTTGCCCTGGCCTCAACTACTTTCCAGTCTCTCTTATCATACAAGAGCCCCTCTAGGACTCTGGTTCTGGTTCCTCTGTCTTATATTATTCTTCTAAAAACTCTGCCTTTCCCAGACAGCCATGACTTTGATCTCTCCTTCGTTACTACCCCTCTGACCGTGGCTGTCAGTCTTCTGCTTACTTTTATTAAAATTATCTGCTTATTCACTTGTTTCCCTCACTGGCTTATGAGCTCTTCATGGGCAGGGACCTTATTATTGTTGTTATTATTTAGAAGAAGGGGCCTCACTCTGTCGCTCTGTGCAATCATGGCTCACTACAATCTCAACCTCCCAGGCTCAAGTGATCCTCCCACCTCAGCCTTCTGAGTAGCTAGGACTACAGACACCTGCCACCATGCCTGGCTAATTTTCTTTAATTTTTCTGTAGAAATGGGGTCCTACTATGTTGCCCAGGCTGATCTCAAACTCCTGGGCTCAAGCAGTCCTCCCACTTCGGCCTTCCAAAGTGCTGGGATTACAAGTGTGAGCCACCGCACCCAGCCCACATTATTTTTATATGTCCAGAACCCAGGACAGTGCCTAGAATATAGATGCCCTTAAAATGTACGACCAGAACTGAATTTGGTGGCTAAGGCCCCTTTCACCTCCTTTTCTTGCACTGCCCTCTTCTTTTGTCTCCTGGGCTCACCATTCTCAGTTTCCAATGCATTTTCTTTCTTGCTGCTTCCTGCCAGTCTCTGTCTTCATCTTGAGCTATTGACTGCTTCAGTGGCACCAATATTTCCTTCCTGTGGAGAACTCACTGAGCAGGAGGCTTGTGATCAGAAAGCACCCATGCTATTTTCTAAAGAGGGGCTATAAGTGTGTGTTGAGCTCTAGAGACATGATTGGACTAGGTACTAGCCTTCCGAGTGACTGCTTTGCAAGACAACAGTCCTAGAGAGGTGTAAGTTCTGGTGCGTTGTTAATCTCATGATTTTATCTAAGTCTCTGAGAAGGGGCTGGGGTAAGAGAGATGAGTAAATTAGATTCAAATTGCCTACAAGGTGTGACTTTGGACATATTACTTTATGCAACCTAGTTCTTCAATTTTAAAATGAAAATGATATTTGCCTTATGTGGTTTTGGGGAGGATTCAATGACATAATATAGATAAAGCACCTAGCACCATGGCCGTACCTCTGGCAGGTATTTAAGCAACATTAACTAAATGATTGGATGAGTTTTGGAAGAACTACACCTGGGCTAAATTGTTCCAAACAACTCCCTGCCTGAGTCCAGCCAGAGTTCTTAGCACAGCTGCCTTCCCAACGTGAGCTTTGAGAAGTCCCTCCTCTCCTCTCTTCCCTTCCCAGACTATTGTTCCCTCTTGCCACTAGAAATTTAACCAGGTTAAGGTCAGGGTGGAGGGCTCTTTGATAAGCTGCCTGGGAATGGTGTGGGCATAGAGAGGCTGGCCTAGAGCCACACTATTCCAAGTGTGGTCCCTGTATTAACAGCATTGGTACCACCTGGGAGCTAATATGAAATGCTGACAATTCAGGTTCCAGACTTACTGAATCAGAATCTGCATTTAAATAATATGCCCAGATGATTTATCTGTACATTAATATATTAAGAAACACTGTCCTAGGGGCACAGATGGGTTCACCAGGGGTAGAGGGTTGAGGCAGTGCAGGTGTGTCAGTTGTCTAAAAGAGGTAGAGGTTGTATGGGGGTGGGGGAGGCTGTGGCAGGGGGGTGTACTCAGAAAAGAAGAAGTGTCCTCAGAGATGTGATTTGTAGAGCTGTAGGGGGCTCTTTGGGAGGCATTGGTCATTTGCTGTTTCAGGGCTCCTTCCTATCGATGCCTTGAGTACGAGGTGGTACCCCTTCCTATTGATGCCTTGAGTATGTTAGCCAGTGAGTGTCACTGCACCAGCCAGAGAGTGACAGGTGGGCAGGGAAAGGCTCTCTACTGCCCTAAGCCTGTAGAGACACTCCTGCAAGGACCCTAGGACCATCTAGCTTAGCAGTTGAGTATTGTTTTCCAAGGAGATGCATAACCAGCAACTGGCTAGCCTCACCCCTAAAAACATACCCTGAGCTGGTGTTAGGCTACAGTCTCCCCTCCTCACCTCTGTACCCCCAGCTGGCACATGTGCACCCCTATAACACACACATGAACTTTCTTGCTTGGGAGACTCAGATGGGAGTTCATAAGTAGGGTTAATCCTCCTCTTCCCCTCTCTGACCTGCTTGACCCCAGGCTGGCCCCCAAGCCTCTATGGGCCCCTCAGCCCTGACCTCCCTGCTGCACAGAGCAGGCCTTGTGAGAGTGACTGCAGGCCCTAGGCTTGGTTGGGTGCAGCAAAAATTTGTTTCAGGCTGGGCGCGGTGGCTCAAGCCTGTAATCCCAGCACTTTGGGAGGCCGAGACAGGCGGATCATGAGGTCAGGAGATCGAGACAATCCTGGCTAACACGGTGAAACCCCATCTCTACTAAAAAATATGAAAAACTAGCTGGGCGAGGTGGCGGGCGCCTGTGGTCCCAGCTACTCCAGAGGCTGAGGCAGGAGAATGGCGTAAACCCGGGAGGCGGAGCTTGCAGTGAGCTGAGATCCGGCCACTGCACTCCAGCCTGGGCGACAGAGCCAGACTCAGTTTCAAAAAAAAAAAAATTTGTTTCAGCAGAGCCATTCTCTCTCTCTTGCTCTCTTGTGTGCACTCTCTCTCTCTCTCTCTCTCTCTCACACACACACATACACACACAAACACACACACACAGTCTTACTCTGTCACCCAGGCTGGAGTGAGTGGTGTGATCACAGCTCACTGCAGCCTCAACTTCCCACTCTCAAGTGATCCTCTTGCCTCAGGTTCCCAAGTTACTGGGACCACAAGCACATGCTACCACACCCGGCTAAGTGTTTTTTTCTTTTTTGTAGAGATGGGGTCTCACTTTGTTGCCCAGGCTAGTCTTGAACTCCTGGGCTCAAGCAGTCCTCCTGCCTCAGCCTCCTGAAGTGCTGAGATTACAGGCTCATGAGCCACCATGCCTGGCCTTTCTCTTTCTTAAGCACTCTTAGGACAGGACTCTCAGTCCCTGATTGCCTTCTTAATAAAAACCCTTTCCAGCCACCAACCTAGAGCCTCTTGACCCTTCCCTTGGGTCATCTGTTTATCTCAATGGTAAAGGAAAAGGCCCTGCTGCAACTGACCCCTGAAAATGAGGTGGGGGGTAAGTGAGTGCCCTGTGGCAGGGTAGGAGCTACATCATCAGCAACAAAAAGTCATAAGGGTAGAGTCCTAGTCCCCAGGGATGAGCTTCACCAGTAGTTGCTTTAAACCCTCTGCCAAAGTACCCAGTGACCAATAGCCATGTCTCCACTTTAACCCAGCTCCTGCCCAGGCCCAGTCTCTATGTCAGAGAAGATAATATCGCTATCATTATCGCTCTCCTCTGTGCTCCTGCCACCCTCCATGCATTCCTGCCTCTGCTGTTCCTCTCTCTTCCTTAAATAGGCTGATGTGTGTGCCTGTCATCTCCATACTTTTAAATTCTTCTTGGCAAGAACTAGGGCTTGGTGTTTTTCCCTCCCCAGTGTACACTGTGCCTTCTCCCTTGTTGGTGTTCAGTGATTATCAAAGTTCCAAACAAGTGGTGAGTTCACCAATGTTTAATTATTGAGATGACAAAAAGGAAAGACTAGGAGACTGCTCTGACTAGAGAGCTGAGCTTCAGAGCTGCAAATTATCTTTGTGGGCAAAGAGTAGTGCCTGCCAGGCATAATTGGGGTTACAGACTTAGAACAAGCTAAAAAGGAGAGGAAGGGAAGCGATAGGAAATGCCACAGAGGGGAAAAGCTGTTTGATACCAGCCCTCCAAGTCCGTTGTCCCTTGCAGACAAGTTGGTCCTTATTCTTCCAAGGCCAGAGGGAAGAAATCCCATAGACTCTGCCAATTACTTTGCTTTCCTGGGAAATCAAGGAGCCCCAAAGATTTATGAACCAGTGCAGGCCAAGCTCAGTTCCTTGAGTAAACGAAGCTTACTAAAAAGCTTTAAGTGAGATTTGGGGCCAAGATTCAGAGAAGGATCCACAAGTCAATCTGGCCCAGACAAATGTCAGTGTCTGCTGGCATTTCTGCTTCTGCTTCCTACCACGTGTGGGTCTCTCAAGGAGTCTCCAACCACATGTCCTGTACTGATTCCTGGGCAGTATTCTCCTCCATGTCTGTGCCTCCTCCCTTACCTTGAAGAACTGGAATCCATATTCTAGAAGGAAACTGAAAGATCCTCTGGACCATGCTCCCTAAAGCTCTGTTAACCTTGAACAACCTTTCCATCTTTCTGTCCTCTGGGCCCTGTCTAAGGGGCACCTCAAGTAGAAAGCCCCCAGAAACCCAACCCCAAATCCCCAGCCCCCTCCAACTCCCCTGTTCTTAGAATAATTTTCCCTCTCCTATGAAAGGCCTCATCCCCAAAAGTCTGTGTTGTCTGAATCTGAATATGAAAAGGGAAGGGACTGCCTTCTCCCCACTGCCCACCACACACCTTCTTATTTTTCTGCCTAGGTCCTGCTTCTCAATCTTTTTTTAAAAATTGTATTAGAATATGCATAACATAAAAGTTACCATTTTAACCATCATGGGGCTTTTTTTGTT